TAGTGAGTTAATTCCAATCTACCACTTCCAGTGCAATCTATGTCAAGAATAAAGACACTAAGGCACGTTTGTAGTTACGAGGAGCCAAGGGATCCTAAGTTCAGCCACGATGATGGCTACCCAGAACAAAGGCCTCCACCCAGGGCCAAACCTGGGTGGAGTTTTAATAATTCATGAAGTTTTAATAATTCATGAAGAAAGGAGTAGTTTGAGAATGAGTGACTGTGACAGTGGTGGGAAGTAGGTGAATGCTGTGAGCTGGGCTAGGTAGGAGAGAGGAGTATCTGCAGAAAGAATAATCTGCACAACACAGTTGAGATAGTATCTAATGTTTTGAGGTCATTGCTTCAACTGTAATGTATAATCTTTCAAGCCCCAGGAAGTCATATCCTCTATCTTAAGGCTGGATCCCAGCCCACAGCATGAAACATTGGCTCTACATCCTGCCTCGACCTGGCTCACACAAGGAAACAATGGGGTGGTCTGGGGAAATACTGCTTGCTGTCTTCGGAGACTACCAGCAGCACATCAGCTGGACCGATACACATTGTTTAAATTGAAGGGATAAGGAAAATCCTAGCCAGCTCTGCACCATCAGTACATGGAACTAGGGCCAGGTTCAGTCAAAATGGAGACAACTGCTCCTCCTTCAAGGAGAGTCGCCCAAGTGATCCTCCACAAGCAGAGATTTTTAAACAAACAAGAAGTGTAATTGTGTGGTACATACTATTTGTGATCTGCCTTTTTCACTTGGTAAACGCCTTTATATTAATAAGTGTAGGTCTACAGCATCATTTAACAGCTATATTGTATTTTATTGTGTAATTTATATATTCTGCTCTCTAGGGTTCCTTGGGTGGGGTGCATGTGTATGCACATATATAGTGCTGGGGCTTGAACCACTCAGGGTCTTTGTACTGAGTTTTACCCCCAGCCCCATTTAAATTTTTTTTTTTTTTTTAGACAAAATCTTGCTAAGTTGCCCAGGCTGGGCTCCAACTTGCAATCCTTCTGCCTCAGCTTCCCAGATGCTTCCCAATGCTTATCATTATAACTAAGCTTTACATGCATTATGATCTTCCCTATTTAACTGTTTATAAAAGTAATGTGTTCCTCAGTGTCCCTAAGGCCCCAACCTGCTTGAGAACTACCCATGTGGGGGCTCAACCCCGTGGGCCATTGGTCCAGGCTGGCAATGGGCAAGTCAGCATCAGCATGTTTTTAAGCCCTCCAAGTGGCTATACAGGTTGTGACTGAAATATACAGTGAAAGTTTAAAAGTTTATCACAGTAAAAGATGTTGCCATGAATCCCTCAAAATGCTCCCCCTGGCTTCAGTTACACTTGTCCAATCATTCTTGCCACTTCCTGAAGCAGTTCTGGAAGTCTTGTCTATCTTGCAAGGTGAGATAAAATATATATATGGTGAATGCTGCTTCTGGGGGCTATCCAGTGGAAAAGCAGGCTGATAAAAACATTAAAAACATAAAAACATTGGCGGACAGGTGTGGTGGTACGTGCCTATAATCCCAGTACTCAGGAGGCTGAGGCAGAAGGATTGCCTCAAGTTCAAGGCTGGGTTACATAGTGAGTTCAAGACCAGCCTGAACTACACATAATGAGACCATGTCTCAAAAAAAAAAAAAAAAAAAAAAAAAAAAGAGAAAGAAAGGAAAATTACATTTGTCCCCTATCCACCTTATTGACTGGATCTGGCAGTGCACTTCTGGTTCTTCCCCCAAAGTCAAAAGGACCATGAAAGGGAAGCACTTGAATCAATTCAGGACATGGAGGCAGCCATAACACAACTAAAGACACTTACAAAAGAGAACCTCCAGAACTACTTCAGAAACTGGTGGGAACAATGCCATGGGTATATCTGAAGCAGTGGCATGGTGAATATTCTGAGGCATATTGGTGGCAATGTGTCTTTTACTGTGATTAATTTTTTAAAAAATTAAACATTCAACCAGTGTGGACAGTGAGCTTCTCCACTTCTCCACTTCTCCCCTCCCTTCTTGTCCTCCCCTGATTCCCTCCCTCCCCCTCCCTCCTCAGCCTTTCTCTAACCTCTCAGTCTCCCTTTTTGTTTCCTGTCCCAGCTGCAGGTACATTTGCAGCTGCTCATCTCTCCAGCCACGCACAGCCCATGCCTGACTTGGCCTTCAGTAGCATCAAGCTTTATGGGTATTTCTTAATCAGTTCTTGCAAAGATGGTAACCTACGTTACACCAGGGAAATACTACAGGAGATTGCATTGGAACATTTGGGGGTCACAAAGTACTATTTGGGGTACAACATTGAATAAGGAAGCAGCTCCAGGGTACATACTATTTTTTTTTTTTTTTTTTTTTTTTTTTTTTTTTTTGGTTTTTCTCCGGTACCGGGAACCGAACTCACGACCTTGCGCTTGCCAGGCAGCCCTTTTGCCGCTGAGCTAAATCCCCAGCCCCCAGGGTACATACTATTTATGATCTGCCCATGATCACTACTGTGGAGTCCTTAAAAGGATGCTCAGGCATGGTACAATGCAGATTTCACAGCCAGAGCGGGGTGAGTTGATGACCCTGCCATATGAACATATTGTCAGGATCGTGCATTTCATACAAGGTAATAATTACTTGTTAACTGGAGGACAGGATAAACTGTTATGAATATATGATCTAAACAAACCTGAAGCAGAACCTAAGGAAATCAGTGATCATATTTGTGGCATTTAAAAGGCTGATGCAGTGAAGGTAAACAGATTCTCTCAGCTGGTGATGAAACTGTTTGCTGTTGGGATCATGCTGCCATGATGGAAGTGAAATCTAAATTGTAATATGTTCTTCAGGAATGTGGAGTATATTTCTGAGGAGAGATCCTGGTTATTACTATGACCTATTGCTTTTCATAGTGCAGTAAGTTTGGGCCTAGTGAAACCCTTTGAAGCACCTGCAGCCATCAATTCTGCATCTCTTTGTCCTGAGAAAGAATTTCTCACTGTAGGAGGTGAAATTTTAAAATTTATAATAAGTATGGTTAAAGCGGTGGAGAATTAGAATCCTACAAAGGACACTTTGGTTCCATTCCTTGTGTGAGATTTGCTCCTGTGCAGAACTTGGTGCCAGGGGTTCTGAAGGCGGAATTTTGACTGCGGCAAACTGTGGTAGGAAAAACCTGTGGCCTTTGGAAATGTGTGATTCCTAAAGAAGGTAATGATAAATTGCCAAGCCAAAGACCAGCTTTCCAGAGAGAACCGAACAGTAACTAGAAGGAATTGTTTCAGAAAATTCAGATTCCATCTATTCTTCAGCTCCTGAAGTGAAAGTATGCTTGGGCCACAGATAGTACAGAATTTATGGACTAAGGGAACAACCCACCTTCTGAGGCCCCTTCTGTCCCTCTCAGACAGAAGTTTTCTTTCTCCCAATAAATTCTTCCTATTCTTAAAAAAAAAAGAATTTATGGACTACTGGAGCAAGCGGAGAAAAGCATCAGCCTTCCAGACTTCCTACTTAACACTAAACACAGCCAAGAACAGTGTGGAATTCAGCTTCACCTTGGGGCTGGAACAACTAACTTGGTATTTGTTACCTGTGAGTGAAAACTCAGAACACCAGAGGCGGGCAGGGAAGCTGGGTTCTGCTTAAGATGACAGCCTGTTGTCTTTTTAATGAATACATGCAAGCCAACATCCACTTTTTGCCATTACAATTAAATTTCTGGTAGCTTCTTTTTTTTGCTGTTATGGAGAAGAAAAATATATTTGCTTATTTTTCTGACATTTCTCCTCAAGCAGAATGCCCTCCCCTTTTTCTTTTGCTTTAGTTGTAAAGAAGAGGAACTATATGACAAAGTGACTGGTTTCTTTCATTGTAAACGGCTTCTGTACATTGCTTCTAAATATTTACTGGTCACTTAACATGCAGTGGCTTTTTAGAAGACTACAGTCTAAGATGCCTAAGTAGCTCCAGAACAGCACGGGCTGACCTGAGCAAAATCCATGGTGCAGATATCTGCAGTTTGCACCCTGGGCTCACTTTATTTAGCTCCCTTGGCCTCCAGCCACGGTCATGCCTTGGGGAGATAAACATGAAGCCTTTCATGTACCCTAAATTCTTAAGGCTCCCCATGCTCTTGAGTTCTCCAAGGCCCTCATCCAGAGCATAGGCTTGACAGGAACACGAATTAATCAGCGTATTTGCATGGAGAAGCTATCGTGGGGGAGTCGGCAGGAAGCTTAGAGATATGTCTCGCTGGCCCAACACACCTGGCCTGAACACAGTGCCCTGGGACAGGATCTTGGCCCTTCCAGCTCTGGGAACTCCTGCTTATAGAGTGCACAGATCCCTACCAATGCCAGGCACTTGCCTTAGCAAGAGCAGCGATCAGACCCTGGGCAGGAAGAGAGACAGGGAGCCTTCACTGCACTGATGAATGTTTCCTTCTCCCGGCCACCTGCATCACCAGTGGAATGGTACAGGCCTGAAGGCTCTATGAACATAGAATAACTTGATGATTCAGAGCCAGGCTCTGTGTCACTTCCATATGTACCTTACCATATGGGTAACGTACTGAAGCTATCAGGACCTCAGCTTCCTCATTTATGAAAACATAACAAAAGCAGCACCTTTACCCTTAGGGTTGATGTAAAATGAAATAAGCTCACTGGGCACATGGTAAGCTTTACAGGAGTGATAGTGTGATCTTAGGGCAGCTGTGGGAGCGCTGAGTCCCAGGACCAAAAAACCCTCCTAGCCAGAGGACCGTAAAACCTCCCTCCCCCAGTCCTGGCAGGACTTGGAGCTGAGCATTAGTTAGAGCCGGAAGAGACAATAGGCTGTAGGAGGAGTTGATTGTGGGTTCCTGGAAGGTGAATACTCCTTCCGGAGCACTCGAAATGCCCAGCTACAGTTAGACTAGCTGTGCCCACAGCATGTGCACAGGAAACACCACCCAGAGGAGAAAATCCTTAGACTGCCTTCTGCCCCGCCCAGGGTGGGTGGGGTGACTGTAGGAGCGCCTATGGGGAAAGAAATGTGTCAGCCACTCTTTGTAGGGGATATGACCTAGGAAGGGAAATCTGTGCCTTGAACTGGAGTGACCCCCTCTACAGATCCTGTTCCCTCTCACAGGCGAGAAAAGCCCAGCTCCAGAAGTCACCGCATCTGTGTGGCTCACAGAAGTCTCTTGCAGCTGCCAGCCTGATGTCTCAAAAGCTGTGGTGAGTCGGAGGTGGGTGAGGGCACCCGCAGACACTCAGAGAAGCCTTTGCACTCCTGCCATGGCCAGGGACCCAGTGGAGGTGCCAGAAGCTGGAGACTGAGACAGCAGAAGTCACCAGCCCGGGGCGAGGGGCAGTGGGGTCTGGCTAGCTGGCCAGAGGACAAAACCCCTCTCTCAGGATCATGGGTGCCCCTGCCTCCCTGGTATCCTCGGAGGACTTGAAGAACCCAGAGTTTGTGGGTGAAGGCGGGTTCGGCACAGTGTTCCGGGCACAACATGAGAAGTGGAACTGCGATGTGGCTGTCAAGGTCGTAAATTCGTGAGTGTGCCCGCAGCGGGGGCCCGGGTTTAGCCAAGTGGGTGGAGCTGCTGTGCTATCTGCCTGAATGGGGAAGGGAGAGATCTTCCAGGAAACGGGCACGAGGCAACTCTCTCTTTAGAGAGGCGCTGTCCAGGGAGGTGAAAACCATGGCAAGTCTGAATAACCAGTACGTGTTGAGACTGCTGGGAGTGACGAGGAACCTGCAGTGGGACAGCGTGTCTGGGCCAGCTCTGGTGACACAGTTCATGGAGAACGGCTCCCTGTCGGGGCTGCTGCAGAGGGACTGTCCTCGGCCCTGGCTGCTCATCTGCCGCCTCCTGAAGGAAGTGGTGCTTGGGATGAGTTATCTGCACAGTTTGAACCCAGTGCTACTGCACCGGGACCTCAAGCCCTCCAATGTCCTGCTGGACACAAACCTGCATGCCAAGGTCAGCCCACCCACACCCAGCCCACCCTTGGGAGAAGCCTCCCACCCCCTTCCCCCACCCTCTGGGCTGCCCCAGCCCCACCCACTGGCCACAGGTCCTGTGGCAGCCCTGGCTGTTGAATATCCTCTGCCATGGCCAGCTTAGCCCAGGAGAGTCAGACCTGTCAGGAAGCTGCTCAGTCACTCCATGACCCAGACCCATCTACAGGACCTGCATCTCCCACCCCAGCCCCTACTGATCCTACCTTTCTTCATTCCCCTTATAAAACAAGCCCTGCACCTTCAGCAAGAAGGGAGGGAGGATTCTAGAGGCTGTCTGGCCCACTTCATTCAATTCTTCCTCCTTCCTTCCCTTTGCAGTTGGCAGATTTTGGCCTCTCCACATTTCAGGGACGGTCACAGTCAGGAACAGGGTTTGAGTCCCAGGAGCTGGGAGGCACCCTGGCTTACTTGGCCCCAGAATTGTTAGCTGATATAAACAAGAAGGCCTCCAAGGCCAGTGATGTCTACAGGTAAGGTGCCTGCCCCAAACACACACACATCCTAGATTTCTACGCCTCTCTGGAGGCCCTTTAAGGAAATGGTATATGGGAAAGGAATCTTGCCAGTGGCTGGCCAGGTATCCGCCTGTATCTCCTGCAGCTTCGGGATCCTCATGTGGGCACTGTTAGCAGGGAGAGAACCTGAGGGTAAGACTAAGCAGACTGTGGGGTCCTTAACCCAGGGGGTCTCTCCTGAAAGCCTTGAGCCCTCCATTTGCATCTTAGCTACTCAGAGGGACAAGTACCCCTCATACCCTGAGTGCCTTTTCTATCATCTTCCCACCCCACCCCAGTTGTGGCGCAGGTATCACTGGTCCATGAAACAGTAGTGGAGAAGCAGGTCCGGCCCCCGCTGACCGAGCTGCCTCCACCCAGCCCTCAGACTCCGGGCTTGGAAGAACTGAAGACGCTGATGCAGTGCAGCTGGAGCCATAAGCCCAGTGAGAGGCCCCTCTTCCCAGGTGAGCCACTCACTTCACCAGCAGCTGGAGTAGGCTTGGGTCTGTGAGCAGGGGCCTTTTCCCAAGAAAAGACATTCGGCTCACTTGCAACCCAATCTGCTCTCTCTCAGAATGCCAGGAAACAACCGAAAAGGTCTATTCAGGGGCACATGGCAATATGGATGCTGCCATCTCTGAGGTGAGTGACCAACTCCATCTTCCACCCAGGATCTGCCCAGAGATGGCACACGTGGCTCCCTTGGCCACCCAGGGTCTCCCTACTGAGCACGGTTGTGTCTGCCTTCACCTTTCTCCTTGCCCTCCCCAGCCCACCCTGAGTTAGCAGGTACACTCACTCTGACTCTTCCAACTCATGCCCCACAAGCTCCTCCTGTCTCTGCAGGTGACAACATTTCTGTCTCAGCACAGGAGCCGCAATAGGAGGTTGTCTGCCCCACAGCCAAGCCAAGAAGGGAAAGAAGTGGATGGGGGAGCCACCGGAAGCCAGTCCTCATGGACTGATTCCACACTTTCTGAGAGTCTGACCCGCCTGGAGCTGAAACATTCCCCCACCCCAGTTCCTAAAGAATACACAGGCCTGACTGAGGGGAGCAGGGCACAGGAAGAGCAGGTTCCGCACGCCAGGAGAGCAGGGGCCTCTTCATATTCAATGGGCCAAAATCTCCAGACTCCAGAGACCTCACCTTTCACAAGCCAGGCAGGCAGGCCCATTTTGACTGGAACTCCAAGTCCTGGCCCCCAAGGGGATCAGGTGAGACCCCGGCATCCTAAGGGATGATCTAGGACTCCTGGAAACTCTGTCCCTTTACCAGGAAAAGCTTGGGGCTGATGGCTGAAGTATGTATGCAGAGGGGAACTAGGCTCCAGCACAGGAGGCCTGACTGCTGTGTTGTTTGCAGGAAGCTAAGGGACACGACACCAACTCGTCCTCTAGGGCTCCAGAGCCAAATCCACCAACAGGTACCCATTCCCCACCCGCTCCTTTCCCCTACTAGATTTCCCGTCAGCTCCTTCCTTAATGCCTATATATTGGCCCAGGGTATTTGGAGGCTGGGGAGAAACATGATTTTCTCTCTTCCTAAATGAAGAAGCTGGCATCCACTGGGAGAGGATGCTGCTGAGGTCTTATACCAAAGCTTGGATTTGTCCTCGGGTGCTCTCACTATCCCCAGCGCCAGATCTGTGAGCCCCTCAGTTCTGTTGTTGCCATGGCAGTCCAAAGTGTCTCCCAGTTAAACCTCAAATATCAGCTGCTGCTTTTGCCGAGCTGTAAGGCCAGCTGTGGTGAGGCAGCCTGAAGGGTGAGGCACAGGGCACTCCACGGGCAGGCAAGTTCCCTCCTTGCATTTCACCGTGTGAACACGAGGTGTCGCTGCCCTCCTCCCCAGTGGGCCCGCTAACCTCCTCTAAACCCTCTCACCTCACCATTCTTTTCCTTAAAGTGGCCGGTATGTGGATCCACAACAGTTGTGTGCAATTCGGAAACAACAACTACATGACAATGCACGAAGCTCCCTCGACCTCAGTACCCTTTAGCATGGGTAAACGGGGGCAACACCCCCAGAAGTAGTTCTGAAAGAAGGCCTGCCGGAACCTGGAGCCTGGAGTGGGCCACTGTCCGTATAAAGTGAGAAGTGAAGCGCCTCCTAGGCCGCCTGTAGGGTTGGGGACAGCCCGCGGCCCCCCTGCAGCCCTCTGCTTTCTTCAAGTGTGGTCCCTCCTGTGCCCACACTGACCTTGTGATCGGCGCCGCGCTCCTGTCAAGTCAATAAACGCGTTTGAACGTCAGCCAAAGGCGATGAGCGAGTCTGAGGCCGGGAGGGGTCTTGTGATGTGGGTGGGGGCCAGGAGCTAAGGGCCAGGGAGGAAGCACCGCAGTTTGGCCAGGGCAGGACGGGGACACTGGGGGCTGGGAGGGCAGTCTTGTATCGCACAGGGCAGAGCCCAGCGGGTAGCAGGAAGGATCCCGCAGGCCTGGCTCCCCCAGCCCTGGGGCTAGCCCTTCCTCTAGAGCTCACTCCCAACCCCACCTTAGGCCTAGACTCGGGATAGAGCTCGAGCCCCACAGCCTGCCTTTGCTTCTGGACCTGGGGACTCTGAATCAGGCCCCTAGGGAGTGAGAGGGGTGGCTCTGTGGGAACCTGCAGATGCCAGCCTTTCTCCTGCCCTACAGGAAGTCCCCAGCTTTCCAGGGTCACCCCCCCTTATTGCTGCCTCCCCCACCACACAGAGTCACACACTCTCATCCTGCTTTCCAGGTGTTGGAGGCCCCCTCTTTTTTTTCTGGTACTGGAAACTGAACCCAGAGCCTTAGCCGTGAGCTATATCCCCAGCCTTTTATTCTGAGATAGTCTCACTAGACTAAGCTGCCCAGGCTGGACTCAATCCTGAGATCCTCCTGCCTCATCCTCCCAGAACTCTGGGATTACAGTGGTGAGCCATTTTGAGACTCAGGTGGTGCTGGGGAATGGAAAGTTGTGACCCCACGCAGCTACTCAAAGAATACCGCCCGCCTTGGAGCTGGGGGCGGCGGGAGCACGGACGGCTCAGACTCTGCGGGAGCTGCTGCCCCGGAGGCCGAGAATGGAGAGGAACGAGGGACCCTAGCCTGCCCTAGGTCCAGCCCCGCCTGGCACCCGGGCCTGCGCTCTTCCCTGAGTTCCCGCCAGGCACACCCCTGTCCTCCCGTCTCCCCACGCCTTAACGTTCTACCCACACTTGACACACTCCCTTAGGACCACCCTTCACGTCTCTCGCAGGGCCCGCCACTCCCTTCCCTTGCAGGGACCAGGGAGGGAAAGCGGTGATGAGAAGATAAGATGGGGGGGTAGGGGGAGGCCAGGGGAGTGCTCGGCACGGGAAGGGGCCGGGCTGTCCGGTCGGGGAAGTGGGAGGGGGCCGTGGCGCCGGAGGGAAGCGCCTGTCGCCCGGGGATCTGGGCCACTAGCGCTCCAGGAGCGAGCGCGCCGGGCCACCCGCGCTCCAGGCTGCGTGGCGCGCACCAAGTTGGGGAAAGGACGGGCCCGCGCCCCTTCGCGCCACCCCAAGTCCTGGCATCTCCGCCTGCGTCCGGGCGCGCGGGAGGGGGCGGCCTGGCTCG